GGTAAGGAAATTTCTCGCAGATGAGGGGCCAACAGAGGGAGTTGCCAGCTACTGTCATCAATTTTGCGAAAGGAAAGATTTCATAATCCTAAGTGGGTTTCGTCTTTTCGCCCCCTCTATGCCCAAGGGGTTAGTGATTATAACGTCCGGTGAAATTGTTGCATGAAGTTCGGGAAAAAGTATAAAGTAAATGAAATTGAATTGATTCGAAAAGATTACTTGTTCAAGTAGGTTTTGTTGCTCTTCAAAAACAGGACGATTGTTCAGTACTTCTGGAATTTGCAGAATCTAAATATCATTCAAGCATCAACGATTGTAAGATGTCGATATTGTCGGACGTACATCAATCCGTACATTTATTTGCCCGACTGTCGTCATTGGAAGTGCAATATTTGCTACCGAGTCAACGATTGTACGTTTTGAAGTTTTGGCGCCGTTCTTTGTTTATGATGCTTGGTGACTTGCAAATAATATGTAATATTATCGAGTCTTCGCGCTGTTCAGAATCGCATTTCGAAAAAAAGCTTTTTATTTGTTGAGGAGAGCTTGTTTTCAGTGCCGGACGATTTCAGTTGGGATCCGGCAACCAAATCGTTTGGTGATCCGACGCGTCGACCAGAAATCAGAAACGCTTCCGTTGAATTTATTGCCCCATCCGAATATATGGTAAATTCACATCGTTGTCTTCACCCCCAGCTAACGCGCACTGGCACTTTTCCGCGGTTCCTCCCTTTATATTGCTCAAGTTATCGTGCCGTAAGTAATTTGGTAAAGGTGCATGCTACGGTTCGGACGGTCTTAGTTTCCTGCTCAAAATAATTTCCGAAAAGAGCATCACGGATAACATTGCAAATAGGCGATTGCTGTTAGCAAAATGTTGTTTAACTGTGGTCACTTCCAAATGCTTCGATCGCCCACTGTAAGTGAAATGCAGGAGGGGGGGTGGGGTTATTTTGTCGTAAGTGAAAAAGGTGTACGATACACATTCGCTGGTACGCACTGTTTTTTCAGTAGGCAGGATCTCCATGCTAACACTTTTTTAATTACAGCTGCGTCCACCGCAACGTGCTATGTACGTTTTCGTAATGGATGTTAGCCAAAATGCGATCGAAACAGGTCTGTCATCTTTAACTTGTATTATTTCGGAACTGTATGAGTTTTGCGATGCTTTCTGGGGATTTGAGAGCAATGCTGCGCTGTGTTTGTCCAAAGCGATGAACTCATTGTTGCAAATTTTATTGCTGTAATGATTTTTATGCGTTTTGTGCTGTGTAACAGCAGTAAAAAAAGCATATTTACACGGGGTTGTCTGTGTGTGTTTATGTATGTGGATGTGCGTGTGTGTTTATGTATGTGTATGTGCGTGTGTGTGTACGTGTGTGTGTGTGTGTTTGTGTACGCGCGTTTTGTCCCGCATTTTCAACTCGGGAGCCACGAAAGCTGGAAAGTTGAAATTTTGCGATAGTGTGCGCTGCCCATATACAACCCCGTAAATTTAAATTCAGCCTTCCTGCGCACTCGGGTATCACGTGCGGCCCCGTGAAAGTTTTGGCGGGGAAATTATTGCCTTGCAAATCACAAAAGCTAAGGAGCTAAAATTTTGCGGTGATGTCCCCTGTCCAGGTACAGCTACACAATTTTAAATTCAGTTCCCCCCATAGATCTGGATACCGCGTACAGTCCTGTAAAAGTTTTGGTAGGGGAAGTTATTTTGGGGGCCACGAAGGTTGGAAAGCCGAGGTTTTAGGTTATTGTTCTCTGCTTATACGTGATCCTGCAAAATCAAATTCAGCTTTCACGCACGCCTGGGTCTCAACGTCCTTGTGAGTGTTTTGGTGGGAAGAATTATTACCCGGAAGCCAGAAGAGGTAGGAGGCTGAAGATTTCAGGGCGATCTTTTTTGCCTATGTAGTGACTACACGAACTCAAATTTAATTCCCAACTATGCCGAGGTTTCACGCACGAATACTTAAAAGTTTTGGCTCGAAGATCACTCGAAAGCCAGAAAATTAGGGGATTGATTTTGGAAGGATATTTACTGTACAAGGCTTTAGTGGGAAATTCCGCAGCTTAGGAACCGGACAAAATTTCAATTATTTTTGCACAGACCAGAGTGCAAAGCAGTTAAAATCCTTTAGCAGGCAAACGTTCGCTCGGCGGAACTGCGCAGAACGCATGATCGCACCGGCTACTCTGGTGCGCGTCGCTATTTATTTATTTTTCGTTATAATATTACTGTCAAAAAAAAAA